TTTGGAACTGAAACGCTTTTGTTGTTAAATTATTAATCTGATCTGCTGGCAACACACTAAATTGCTTCAGCTCTGCTTTCCTCACTTGTCTCAATATACCAGGGCTGCATCAGCACCTATCTTCTTTCAGCTGACAGCATGGGAAAAATGAACAAATGAGTCTCGTCCCAGAGCCCCCAGCAGCATCTTAGAGCAAATCAATGAGCTTTACACCAAAAATGGGACTTTTACCTTACATGTCCTGTCTGTGCTGCAGAGGAGCAGTCATTAGGTGCCATCTGAACTGCTGAAAGTCAGTTCTTTGAAGCAGATGATTTCAAGCCAATAACTTTCAAATATCTTGCTTTTCACTCACAGCTACTAATACGGAATCTGTGGCGCACATAGCTTGCTTAATAAGCTCCATGGAGAGTTTTTGAACCTGTGTTACACATCTATTTAACAATAAAAAATAGTCTCAGGAGAAACTTGTTTTTATCCTTAGTTCTCACTTAACGCAGCGCTTTCCTCTGAAGCCATGACAAAAGACACCTCTTTATCCGGAGTTCAAAGCAAATCCTTTTCAAGGTTAACCTTGCTTACAGACTTTGATTTTTAAATCTCTTGTTGTCCAGACCCAGTTAGCTTCCTGTAAGTATCTGCAGCCATAGTTGATTGCTGTAGCCATTAACACATAACTTTATGCCTGTAACCCATATATTGACATGCCCGCACCTATAAGCACTGTGTCTTTGTTTTGGCAAAGTGGCTCCATTTTGCCTCTAGCTACCATGTCACTGAATAAGGGAATCAGAAAAGTCACTCATCCACCTTGGTTTTCCTGAGCAAGAGCAGAAAAGGGACTTAAGAAAATACATCCAGAGCTGACGTTTCCAACCTGGGACTGTGATTTAGTCCTCCCTCAAGAATGCTTGCCTGTGGTTTCTTTTGGATATTAATTGCAAAGACAAATTCTACTGCCAGTCTTGTGAGCCTGGAGAGGGAATGGGAGGAACCAGAAGGCATTTTTATTTGGGGCTGCATGTAGTGCTCCATACTAGGCTCTAATCATATATAAACTTGCTTCCCAAGGGCTGACCTGTATTTCCAAAATAGAGACCGTATCTCCAGCTGCTTAAATCACACTGATTCAGTGGCCAGTGTTCAGATCTGAGAACACCCTCCTGGAAATTCCCCAGGGGCTCATTTCTCATCACCACCATCTGATGAAGATATCTTATAGAAAGGCAAAGTAAGGAAAGTGGCTGCTGAAGACCTGCAAAACACATGACCTATTTTGGTACAACCACCACCTTAAACAGCAGTCATTACTTTTATTTCCTCACAGCTATCTCCTTCCTAAAGTGTTTTGGAGTTCCATGCTCTGGGACTTTCTTCCCTGTTTATTATTTTGTCAGTGACATAGAGTTGCAAAAGGTGAAGCAAGAATTAGTAAGAATTAGGGCTGAGCTCTAGTAGGGATGGCCTGAGTTGGGGTGATAATCCTTAGATATGGTGAGAACTGCTGTTACTCATAAGCAGTGAGTGTCTTTCCCCCCACAGTTTGTGGATCAATAATATATCATGGCTTTCATCCTTCCCTGCCCATTTCCCCCTTTATTCTGAGCATGATTTGGACCATTAATCCCTGTCCTTGCTCCTTGACTTTCAGTTTCACTCGGTTTCTACCTCTCTGCATTGGAAGCCTCCTCATTTCTTTTTTCTGACTTCCCTCACATATATATTCTCTCCCGATGTGGCAGCTTTTCCCTCTGCAGGATCGTTGCCAAGAGCCCAACCTTGCCGTCTGCCCAGGAAAGTGATGCTACTGCTCAGCTCCCTTCTGGATGTTGTGTGGCTGCAGCAGCAATGTTAATGTTAGCAAAAAAAAAAAGGGGGGTTATCAGAGCCCTGTGGAAGAAAAGCCCCTTTTCTGCCCCACAGCACAGGTACTTTCAGCCATATGTGTATAACTGGCAGGGTTACTTTCCCTATATTCCTTCTCTGTGTTGCACCTGAGATAATGTTGTATCCGTGACAGTAAAATGGAGAGCTTCCGATGCAACTTTTCTTAGTAAGAAAATGCCAGTTTTTAAAACACTGTGTTTTTCTTAGGGGAAAAAAAATCAGTTTCAACAGCTGTTTCCAATAAAAAGTGGATTAAGCAGCAGCCACACTGGCATTTCTTAAAGCAAATGTTTGGGTTTTGGTTTGAAACAGCTCCCCATGAACCCGCTTTTTTTTTGTGCCAATGAAAAGGGCAACCTTTTCTAGTATAAGATGAAATATTTTTAATGGATGGTGATCTGAAAGTGTTGTTTTTGTGAATTATAGGCTTGCAGGCTAATATTGTAGAATTTTTTTATTATTATTTATACTGGTTGGAAAGAGGAAAAGTTTCAGCATTCTCCTAAGGGAAAACAGCACTTTTGTTGCTTAATAAAAGGCAAGAATTCAGTGAAAACCTGACAAAAACTCTGGGCAAAACATTTACTTTTCCTGGGCCTCAGCTGTAAAGGAGGGAGCACAGGGACCTGTTTTCTCCAGTTTCTGGTTTATTTAGGCTTTCAGGGGTACACATTGCCATCTATTCAGCTGTAAAGGGTTTGAGTAACTGATCTGCAATTCACACCAGAGGAAGGCTGTGCTGTTCCCATTGTGCAGCCTGGAGAGACACAGAAATGCCGAGAAGCCAAGGGACAGACCCAAGGATGCTCAGCCTGCAGCACAGAGCAGTGTCCCGGGCACGGCAACACTTCACCTCCATATAGCAACATGACCATCAGACATTGCTACAGTACTCGGTCTGTCTAATAATGTTTGTGTGATTGCTGGCTGCCTGCCTGAAATCCAGGATACTGCTCCCCTGGGAGCTGTGAGTTGTTAAGCATCTCAAAAATCTGGCCCTTCGTGTGTGCAAATGGATCCCCTAATTGCATCCTCATTAGGAGGCTGAGATTGGAATTTCACAAAACCTTATCTGCACCATTTCCTTTCTCTGTTCGCAAGGAAAATTTCCTCTTAGGAATTTTTTTTACAGTCAGCTTTGTGACTGCAGAGTGTCCTTATGGTCACTGTAAGATGTGAGCATCTTCCCATCCGTGCCAGCAGAAAGCAGCTCTGGGGGTGAGGGTGTTTTGATAGAGCAGTTGTCCTTCAGGCAGAATACTAAACTGCTCTGCCATCTGTTTTACAGGGGTTATTCTGGTGAATGCTAAGGATCCCTGAAAGCATTTTTATAGTAGCCCTGTACTGCTTCTTATCCTTAGCAGTCACATAACCTCTCCCTTCAGCTGCTGACTTGTGATTTTTCCCTTTCCAAGTATGCAAAGAGAGGGATCCATATGTCAGCTCCAAGCCTTGGCAGTCTCCCCACTGCATACATATGTGCACCCACACCTCCCTTCAGGCTCTGGCCTGGCTCCCACAAGACAACAACCTTACTCTCTTTACCTTCCCAGAAACTCCATCATGTTCAACATATTTCATAACACATCATGTCTTCATAACTGCCCTGCTCACTGATTTGCCACAAGTTCTGTTCTCTGCTAGAGCTCAGCTCTCTAACAAGATCCAGACTCTCTTCATTTGATGCCAGCTACAAGAAACTCACCCTTCCCAGCTTTTCTTCTAAGCTCTGCTGCCCCTCAGCCCACAGTTTATTACCTGGGCATGCCAGGCACCTCTGTTATGTACTCTTTCAGGGGCAAACATGGGTGTTAAGCTGTTCTTAAAAGTCCCTTTTCCTACAGGAGATGCCATTTCTCTCATGAGTATATCCAAACTCTAGGTTACTACTTTAAACTGCAGAGCTCAAATGAATTCCTGGCTAAGTATGCAACATCTGAGCTGACTAAAGGGCTTAGGAGTGCAAGAAAACTGCAAGGTGAATAATGTGTATTAAGGAGTTGCTGTTAAAGTGTGCAAGATACAGGACTAACTGAAGGAATTACAAGTGAGGAAAGGAACTGTATTCCCAGTACTTCAGGTCTTTGTGTCCAAAGCTCAGTTTAATGGGTTACTTTGGGGAGACCGATAATGAAGCTTTCCTGCCTCTCCCCTCCCTCCCCTGCAGACTTTGCCCTACAGAGCCTTAACGTTTGTTGTGTGTTTAAACTTTGCTTGCATGCTTCAGAAAGATAACTTGGTTTAAAAGGGTCCAAGGTTGTAATAGAATCATAGAATCATTGAAAATGACCTCTAAGATCATCAAGTCCAACCATTAACCTGGCACTTCTAAGCCCATCACTAAACTATGTCACTAAGGGCCTCGTCTACACATCTTTTCAATGCTGCCAGCGATGATGACTCCACCACTTTCCTGGACAGCCTATTCCAGTGCATGACAACACTTTTGGTGAAGAAATCTTTCATAATCATAGAATCATAAAACAGTTTGGGTTGGAAAGGACCTTAAGATCATCAAATACCAACCCCACTGCCATGGGCAGGGACACCTCACACTAGACCATGTCTGTGTCCAAGCCGGCCTTGAACACTGCCAGGGATGGAGCATTTACCATCTAAATCTCCCCTGGCACAACTTGAGGCCATTTCCTCTTGTTCTTTCGCTTGTTACTTGGGAGAAGAGACTGACACCCACCTCACTACAACAGACTTGATGTGATGTGTATATTTGTCTCAAGCTCTCATGCATCACTGTGAAAGGTAATTATAGCAACTCAAGCCTGCAACGTATATGAGAAGTCATGATTTCGTATCTAAATACTAAATGGGGCTGCTAATATGAGTGAGTGCAGCTCAGCTTGAGTAAAAAGTCATTAAAGGATCAGGCCTAGAGTGAATCAGCCTATGGGTACGTGGCAATGAAAGGAAACAAGCAGTGTGAAGTATCAAAGTAAAGCATTCAACAGTCTTAAATTATAGCCTGTCTCTGGGCACTGCCTGCCTCTTTTCCCAGGGTGATCCCAGGAAATATCCACCCTACAGAGTGGATGGGAGACCAGTGAATACTATTAGCCACAACCTTTCTTCTGAATTATATGTTCTTCCCAACACAGGCGGCTGTCATTGGTCTATGAGAATTGTCAGCTCATGCCTTTATTTCCTATGATGCCTAAGGTGTAAGTGATCTCATATGGTAAATAACAATTTTTGTGTACCAGGGAAAGAGTGTGGATGCTTCAGTGGGTCTTTCCTAAGTTTGTGATCTTCTTTGGTCCTGTTGTTATGAGAGGTAAGGATTTCAGCTTCCAGCCTTGGCAGCTGTTTAATAGGGAATGAAAAGATTCCCAGCACTTGGCCTTCAAGAACATACTTTTACCTTTAGAAAAAGTAGGGGTAGGGCCTGTGGAGACCCAGAATCTGATCAGTTCTGTTACTGATCATTGGTTTTCTTATTACTTCATTTCCTAACATGAGTTTTCGATCCACTTGTGTAGCGACCAGAAAGGGACAAACATGGTGAGGTCACTGTGCTTCCTGCTCCGATGTTTGAGGTCGCTTTGACACATAACCTGCCAACACATGATGTTTAAAAACTTCCAAAGCAAGACCTAATGTTCCTTAGCACATATTGTTCTTTTTTTCTGTTTGGAAAAGAAAGGTTTTTCCTCTTACTTTTCAAGAGAAAATGTATCTCTTTGGAACTACATTTTTATTGCCTTGGAGAACACGATGTTCATTCGTGACACAAATCTTTGTGTAAACAAGAAAGTTACTTCAAGACTGGGAGGTTCTGAGAGTCAAAAGTTCTGCTGGATTTTTGAACCGTTAGTGGTGACGCTCCAGCATTGCAACTAAAGCTGTAGAATCTTCTTACATGCTTCTCATGGCTGTCAGATGTATTAACTCCCTTGCACATTAGCACCTCCATTGCAGATGCGGAACTCTCTTTACTGCTGCCTGCACCAGGGTCTCCTGGTCTTTCTAACCTGATCAGAATACCTTTGGGATTTCTTTATTTATTTATTTATTTGTTACTTTATTGATTGCTCTTTTTCAGCCCTGGAAGAATGCCCTGCTGCCTTTTTAACTTCATGCAAAATGTATTGTGTGATTCAGCATGAAGCAAGGGAAGAGGAAATACATTGAATGCAATGACAAATGGCAGAGAGGTCAGAGAAAAGGAAGATACTCTGGCAGGGTCTGCAGAGGATGTCTTGTAATTATGTGCCATAAATATATAGGTCCTAAACAGAAATGCAGAGGAAGGTTTTATGAAGTTTCTTGGAACAGCGTAGGCAAGGCATGGCCATGACTCCATACAGACAAGTCTGCTCTTTGCTCATCCTGAATGTTTGGGCTGCCAAAAATTCACAGCGTTTGCAGAAGGAGTGATGTCCTCCTGAGAGTGTTTCTACTGAATTTCTCCTCCAAAGTCATTTTAGCTGCATGTTACCCATGCTGTCTGCCAAACAAGATCATGAAGTGCAGAGGTAGCGCTGTTATTTACGGTGTGTGCATTTGCGTACTCTTCTATAGGTCAACTGACTGTGTAGGTAACAGTGCCCACGTATATACAGACATGTGCCCAACCATGTCATTTCATAGCTCATTCACGCTTTATTTAGGCAAGTAACTCAAAGCTTAAAGGGAGGTCCACATTTTGTGCATGCCTACGCTGTGCACGCTGTAGCGTGACTCTACTCAGTTTCCCACATGAGTCTCTTTGCAAACTCCTTGTCTACAGCTGTGTGTAGCAGCAAATGCAGGAGAACACTGGAGAGCCAGCTGGCTGAAAACTGCCTGAAAAATAATGGAAATCAGGTGTCAAAAATGAGAATGTGCTTAGATGTGACTTGGCTTCCCTTGGTTTTCCCTGCAGAGAGCAGTGATTCTATATTAGCTTTGTTTTTTGCTCTCTTTGAAAATCATCCTCCGTTGATGGGTAGATATGGGAAGAACAGAGCTTGGTGTGACTTTCAGTGACTTTATCTTGGCAGACACTGCATGCAAGTTGTGCATCTGTCATACAGACGGAGAGACACTAGGGAAAAAATGAAGCCATTAAATAAGATTAAGTTTGGGATCTGGATGAAAAAAGAAAACCAAACTCATCTTTTGTGTCATTATGATATTAGGCAGTTGTACGTCCCCGGATAGATGGATAGAAACCTATTTATCAGTCTGAGAGGTCTGTTCCAGCAGCCCAGCCCCATACTGTTCTGCTCTCTGTAGCAACCAGGACCACATGTGGGAGGCAGGATTTCTGGGAATGAAGAAATTGGGATGACACATTACTTTACATTCTGCTTTAGGTTTCCACTTAAATTGGTCATTTTTAATGCTCTTTTTCATTCTAAGGCTTTGGGTTTTGATGATGCAAAAACATTCCTCAAACACTTTGTTGCCATTTTTTTGAAATAGAAAAGCGTGTATTCAAAACGTTGGGTGTTAAACTCAACACGAGTGCTTGCAAAGGTTATTGCTGCCTCACTGCTATTGTTTCCTCTTTCTCAGGACATGACCTTCACCACCACAATGAATCAGGAAAAACCTGTCAAATCCTCCTAGCTCCCGGGCTGTGCAATTTGCTGTTCCTTGCTGCTCACCAGACAGCAGCTCTTCCCACCCAAAGCACAGAAGAAGCCAGCAAGTTACAAATGACAGCTGAAAAGTGAAGCATTATCAAAAGCTGTGTGAGACTCTGTCAAAGAGAAACTTTATATAGTAATTCTCCTTCTGAGTCTGGGAAACTGTGTATCCCGTCAGTTCCAAAGAACAGAGAGAAGATATGTTCAAGTAAGCAATACCAGAAATTGCTCAAAATAATACATATATTAGAGTATCTACACACAGTGATCTACAGCAATTAGAAATTTCCAGTCAGAATGGATGATGGATATAGAAACACAAACCTCTATCAAGGGGGCAGAGATGCAAACCAAGTCTCAGATGACTACAGGTACCAGGATGGTAACTACGAAGGGTATGCACCCAATGACGGCTACTACCGTGGTGGGGATGAGCCTGCTCATGAAGAAGATGCCCAGAGTGATGTTACGGAAGGCCATGATGAAGATGATGAGGTCTATGAGGGAGAGTACCAAGGGATTCCACACCCAGATGACATTAAAGAGAAGCAGAAGAAGCGAGCTCCTGCCATGGCTGATGAATACAGAGACCGCTCTGACCTTATGGCAGAGAGGATGGAGGACGAGGAGCAACTCGCCCACCAGTATGAGAACATCATTGAGGAGTGTGGCCATGGACGCTTCCAGTGGACTCTTTTCTTTGTTTTAGGGTTGGCACTGATGGCAGATGGGGTGGAGGTGTTTGTGGTTGGATTTGTTCTTCCCAGTGCTGAAAAGGATATGTGCTTATCCAGTTCCAACAAAGGGATGCTAGGTAAGTGCCACATGCAAACAGCTCTTCTATGCAGTTAACAGTAGCTAGAATATCTTGTAGTGAACAGCTGATTTCAGGATCTTCTGGTGTCTCTTGTATTGCATTTCATACATAGTCATGGCTGGGTGGATCTGACTCAAGGGGGATTTGCATGTTCCTGAGAAGGCAGCTACTCAAAAGCAGCTGAATTTCACCACATCAAAGCCCACCTTATGAATGTGCTGTGACCCCAGTACTGAACAAGGCAGCTCACAGTGAGCAGGTCCACAAAGCAAAACTCACAGGGGTGGTCAGGGACAAACCAGTGAAAGGTTAAAGGTGGCTTTTCCTACTTGAGGATTTTGTGACTCAGATTTCAATGCATTTAGAAACAACACTGTAATGAGAAGTCCACACAGCAGTACCATCCAGGCATGGCAGTTATAAAAGACATGAGTCTGTTCACTCTAGATCAAACATTGTGGCTCTTGATGCTCTCCTGCTCTCCAAAGTTTTCCACTTTGCCCAGGTTTCCCTTCTCTTTATCCCAAAGTCCCAAATGACTGATGTGTGCAGTCTGTTCCTTCTGCACACTAACTGCTCAGTCAGAGCAGTTTGCTAGTGAGTACTGGATCAGAAGTAGTGGAGGTTTGTCTTAGGTCTGTGGAAGGCAATTAATGTGCTGAAGCTACTGGCAACACCCTTTTTACATAGCCATTAACATCTCCCTATGGTGAAAATACAAAGGCTTTGTTATTGGGAGTGAAACTGAATGGAAAGGTTTGGATGAACAAGTTTTTCCCTTGAACACTAAGCCAAAGACAGCAAAGCCTCCCAAATCTCCAAGAATCAGGAAAGGATCCAGCATGGCCCATAGTGAGAGCCAGCTGTGCAATAGTACAGCACATCTGGAAGGAAAATAAAGAAGCTCTCAGAAAAACCTCTTTAGGAAAGGGAGAGTGTGTCTTGATGGACATGTACTGGGGTTGTGGGGAGATCATCAGGGCCTGTATTTCATACAGTCTGGCCTAGAAGCCCTGTCTAAAATGAGGTAAATGCAGATTTTGGATTAGACTCTAGCCCTTGATTCAATTGTATTTGCATTGTTTTCGTATGACAAAGGCAATGGATAATTATCCATATATAAAGCTCTCACCTTGGGGTACTGAGGTCCTACATACTTTTCTGTTTCTCCTTTTTTCTTTGCACTGGAGGATCAGGATGTTGTTTTCTATAGTTAGCGAGGTTTGGACTGAATTCTGTGCCTTAAAGGTTTTACTGGTTTTGGTTCAGAAACCACTTTAAAAACCTAGCTCAAAATATCTCAGGTCAGATATCTAAAAGCAAACTGTTCGCAGTTGAGTCCTGGTTTCAAAGGGACTTCCTAATTCACTGGCTCCCTGTGGGACACTGGGCTGGGTGCCTCAGTGGTGAGTCCTTCTCTGGAAAGCAGGTCATTTATTTTGGTGTCTGTATGAAAGCTGAGATCTTCTGAAACCCTGACCCCATAAATATCCGTCTCTGTAGAGCTCAAGCTCTCGCAGGCACCAGAGTCAGAAAACTTCGAATGTCACAAGAAAATCTCTCTTTGAAGTATTTCTGGCCCAGCCACAGGTAAAAATGAACAAGAAATCTCCCCAGTGAGCTCGTTCTGCTTTTCCCAGCTTAATATTTCCCAGGCGGAAAGTTCAGGGTGTTCTGATAAGCACTGTAGGAGAAAGGAGACATTTGGGTTCATATCCAGTCCTAGCTCCAGCCTCCCGCACACCGACCAAGCTAATGTGGAACGGCTAATTAGGGGAAGAACAGTCTTTTCACTGCCTTTCCTGCCCACTTTTAAAGACAGCTTTTGAGAACCTGGTTTTGCAGGACATTTTCTTCTGTCCTTAGATTGTTCTTAGGGGGATCTGCTGCCAAAGCTTGTATTTGCACTCTTTTGTGGATTAAGTATGAGGAAAAAGAAGAATTTTCTTAAAAACAATAATCATCTTAGTTTGAGGCAGAGTGGAAAGTGGGTATTTATTTGAGTACTCAGTTGTTACTGATTGGCATTGTACATGAGGCAGCTCTCTGATTCAGACCATTTTATTTGTTAAACATGCTTTCTTGTCTGCTGGATACTTCTCTGCTGTAGGTTTCCTCTTGGATCTGAGGTTTGTGAGATGTGAAAATGAATTAAGCATGGCTTAGAAAGCCTTAGATTGCAGAGTGATGCAGGGGTGTGAGTAAAGAATCCCCAAGGGCATGAAAAAGTGAGGGTGTGAGGAGGATGGAGTGGGTATGGGGCTGCCGGAGGATGTAACAGGGAAGAGTGCAAGCCACTGGGTCTGAGAAGGACAATGAGAGCTTTCCGCCAAACTAAGGGCAGCAGCAGGGAGTGGAGGGTGTTGGAGGTTTGGCAAGCAGCAGGGCAGTGCAGGGACACAAGGTCTGGTTACAGACCTGCCTCCAGCACAGCCTGGTGTGCCGAGAACTGCCCCTGCAAGAGGGTTTCATTCCTTTTCTGAGCAGCTGTGGGCGCACAGCATGATAAGGACGGTCGGATATCAGCCTCTGAAGGGAAAGGGTGGGAAAGTGCTACTGATGGAGACAAGAACATCATCATCCTCAAAACCTTTCCTAGATTAGCTTCAGCGCCCATCCACATGCAACTAGAAAAAAGGTATCTCCTAACATAGCTCTGAGCCTCCAACACATGCTCATTTCCCTCTGTTTCCATTTCCTCAACACTCTGCATGTTGTGCTATTGCAAATTTATCTTGGCAATGCTCAGGGTTCAGTGACTGGTTGACTTGGTGGCAGTCAGAGCTCTTCACCTCAATTTCTGCCTAATGTCCAGTAACGATCTTGCAAAAGTGTGTCTGCACATAATGAACGGAGGGACTGATCAGAGAAGGCACAGATTTCCCTCAAATCATCACGAGTTTTTAAGGAAACAGGGTTGTTATCCACACGTGATTACTGCCCCTTTATTTACCCCTATGTACCAAGAAATATGTACAGACAAACTGATCTTTATTCCCAAGTGACTGCTCACCTCAACACATATTTTGCTAAGGAAACATACTGAGGTTATCCCAGGTGGAGTTAAGATTGTTTCCAGGCAGCTGCTGAGATTTAAACACACAAGAAGGTCTCAGCCATAATAGGAGAGACCAGGAGGGGAAAAAATGGGAAGTAAGTCAGATAAGTAATCAAACCCTTGCAGGAACAGAAAGGAACAAATAAGAGAGCTAAAGTAGATACCCCCTAAAGACCAATCTAGTAAAATTCAGCTTCTACTAAGAGGATGCTTTGCATTAAATATTCTGTATAGTGCCTATTTTCCCTCCTTCAGAAAGCAAGAATGGAAAAATATCAAGCAAATTATGGCCAAATTATGCAAAAATTACAAATAAACAGATGCCCACAGTGTTTCATGAAATGTGTGAAATGGATATGACACATCTTAGAAAACGTTTACATGTTGTTCTGAAAATAAACATCTCACCATCAGATGCAAATTAACAGCTATTTCAGCCCTAAATATCTCTAGCGGGACAAAACACGTAATTGGAGTTATTCTGTTACATGAAATGCTATTCTGAAGACGATTACAGGGGTATTACAAAAAAAGAGAGAAAAATAAACAGTAACTGTATAGATTTTAACACTTTATTTTTCATTGATTTTTACCACTAGTTGTTAAGAATAAGTTTTGTGCCTTGTAACAACGTTATTTTTTCCATATTCATTGGCTAAATCTGCTTTGTTGAGCTTTCACCAACAGTAGTCATGCTACTAATAATAAATGTCTGAAATTTACTGGAAGAGGATATTCCTTTTCAGTATAATGCATCCTGCCAGAAGCAGAGGGGTTTTTATCAGCTAAGGGTAATCATATGAAAAGTCATATGATTTGTAATTATTTACTTGCTGAAAGGCACACAGTATCATGATTTGGAGAAATAGCATATAAATGTATATCTTCAAGTGCTTTTAATCACCTCTCAGAGGACTAACCATTCTATGACTAAATATCATGTTTACAAGCGTAAAGCAGTAAGTACGCAGCAAGTATAAAAGATGGTGCCACAGTGATGTTTTAAACTTCTTCACATCCTGCACATAAAGAACTCAAGGCACAGATAAAGAGTCAGCCTTTCCCAGATCCCCAGTTGCGTTATCATCGTTTCACAGTTCAATAAACTGAGACAAGAACATTTTTAAGGGCTTTGCTCATAACTGCAAAACAGCCACACCAATGCCGGGAATAAAATGGAGTTTTCAGGCACACAGCTCCCTTTTCCTTTTTATGATTTCATAATAATATTTTAAGGAGAATATCATCTTACAGACTCTTAACCTCACAATGTTAGATAAAAGTATAGGAAAAAGATCCTATTAGTAATTACGTAGTTAGGTAGCAATTCAAGCTTGGCTGTGTGAGTCAGGTTAAATAGGATGTGTAACTATATCCCTGCTTTTAGTCGTGTGAAGAGGAAGTTTTATTATCAGCTGAGATAAATTCCAGCCTCAGCTTCTCATTGACCTGAATTCACCTGATATTACAGTAAATCCTAATCCCTTTGCAAAGCTTCATGGATTTTCTCCATTTCTTGATTTTTTTCTTCCCTGGATAAGCACAGACAAGCCCAGCCGTGGCTCCCTTGCTCTGCCATGGCTTGTATTGCACCTTCATAGACACAGATACCCACCACAGCAACCAGCTAAACCCTGATGAGACCTGCCCGTGTCTGCATCCCAGACATTGGGCATGAATTCCTGGTGCAAATTTGCTCTTGGGCAGAAACACTCCCAAGGAGCATCATCACCTTGAATAGCAGGGACATATTAGGGGAAAAAAAGGTGGTTTTGTAATTTGGGATCACCTTGTGCAGGTCTGGTATGGGGATGGCTGCATCTCCATTTATATACACTGCAGGAATTTCATCTTAGGGGAGCCAGCACGAGCAGGTTTTCATTTAACAGCAAAGGGTTTGTTTGGCTTCCTCTGTTGAAAACTTTGCTTTAGCAGAGGG